GCTGAAAGTTTACTAACCTTACCAAGGAATATTAAACATGCACACACTCTGAGGTTTGATTTGGTCAGATTTGAAGTGGATGAAGCTGAGAACTTTTCAGTACTGCATCATACAATTCAAAGAAAATACTTTTTCAGTCAATAAAATTATACACTTTAACTTTTCAACTTTTGAAAAAGAAACGTTCCTTAGTTAATAAAAACAGTAACTGAGATAAGTTACACCTTGATGCAAACAATTTTTTAATTTTTTTTAATAGTACTATTTCTATGACATGAATTTAGATTTAGTATCTACATAGATTAAACATATGACAAACTAAAGTGGGACTGAAATATAAATAATTATAGAATATCAGAAATTATAGGATTTGTTTAAAAATTGTGATAGGCAAATATGAAAATAGACATTCAACAGATTATGAAGAGAACCATCTTTAGTTCTTTTTTAATTTAAAACTGAAATTCATTCCCACCACTTCCTCCAAGTGTATGTTGCATTTAGAGAATAGTTAATAAAATAATAACTATTTCCCCAAGGTCACCTGAAGATAGCAGGAAAATGAACCAGTTAAAATTAGTTTAAAAAAAAAAAAAAAAAAAATTGCTAATCTTTCCAATACATGGAATTATGATTTCAAAATTCTTTCTGATTAATATCCTTGACAAAAGTCTACATGAAAACAAACCATTTTAATAAATTTATTTTCAGAGTCAAGAAATTCATTATTAAAAAAAAAATCCAATTTGATTTATCAAAATGTTTTTCATGACCTTAGGTTGTAATAAACACCTTTTCATCATTCAATGTTTCTTTGTCATTTATGGATAGGCACACTTTGACATTAATTAGCCACAAGGTCTTAAAATTAATTATTCCTAGCTAAAACTAAATTTATTTGTAAATCGTTTTATAGTTTATATGCAATCATGCATAATAATGTAAAATTAATGTCTTGCAGTAAATATCCCCCTCCCCACATAAAAAAGGGGACATTCTTAATATACTTGAGATCATCTGTATAGAGGAGTGCCTATCCTACTTTTGTATATCCCATAAATTCAAAAATAGTTGAAAGATGTCATCATTCATTGTAGTAAATCAGTTATTTTCATTTCTTTTCATTATTATTGATGATGATACGAGGTAGCATAATGGTTATCAATACAGAAAATGGAAACCAAACTCAAATTCTAGCCAAGGCTGTATTTAATCTTTGTAGAAATACCCTTCACTAAATATCTTGACCAAAAAAGCCTTGTTGCTGGAATGACAATGGTTAACAGAAAATGGGTGAACAAGCACTTGAGGAAAAAAAAAAAAAAAAAAAAAATCACTTCCTCATAACTAGCATTCCTGCACAGGCAGTAACAGTAGCTGTGTTACATCCATCACTTAGTCTTGCTATGTTGTTTTAGTAAATGAGCAAATATTTAGAACTTGAACTGCCTGTTTCCACAACTATGTTCAAAATAATTTTGAATCTACAAGGAGAAAAATCATCCTGATAGAAGAACTTCAAACATAAACGTCTTTTTTCAATACCATTCTCCATTCATAGAATATAGAAGACATATTTTTTAAGATAACATCTCTTAAGTTCAAGATTAATAAAAATCTATACTTGAAATTAACAAAAAACTTTTGTCACTGCCATATTGGATTTCCTAACACGAAAGGAACAAATTCCATGTCATGATTGTTACATAGTTACAGCCAATTTTAGATAAAAGATCACACATCTGTTTGCTATCTCAGTGTCTACTCACTTACAAATGATTAAAAAGACAGCATTCAGAGTCTAATTATATTAATGGCTAATTTATTTCGTAGGTATTTGTAACTTTCAACTAAACAGGACACAAGAAAAAAAATGGATTTACATTAAAATAGTTTGGAATAAAATAAACAAAAATTACTTTACTTTCACATTATGCAACTTCATCAAAACATCTGCCAAGTTGCACATGAAGCAAATATGATGTGTAAAATAACATTTATATAGAGATGACTGCTAAACTCAAATTAGATGTACTTTTGCCTTCAAAGAAAAAGTTGCTTTACTATTAACCCCTTCAAGAATTAAACAAAAAATTCAATTTTAATTATTGTTTTATATTAAAATTACAAAGTCATGCAAAAATTAAATCTGTTTGAGAAACAATACAAATTAATTTTTTTTTAAACTAATTACAACTTATATTTTTGGACATACATACTAATAAATATTTCATATAAATTAAGATTTTACAAGTATAAAGTGGGAAGCAGCAAATAGCATCTGTTCAAAATCTGAATGGAGAAGTTTAGTTATTTGTCCTCATTTTATGACAAAACAAATCAAATAAACTGAAATCAATGTTATTTCAGTATTCATTAATTAATTTACATGTTTACCATTACAAAGTTTAGGAGGAAAGCATTATCAAATCAACAATAATTAAAAGATTTCAATTTGATTTTAATTTACCAGGTCTGAATTTAGATGAGGCAGAGTATTTTTCCTCTCTCTCTCTCAATTATTATCAATCAGTTTTAAAATCACAATCCTCAGTGTAAGCACACATGGTGGTGGTGGTGGTGGTGGGGGATCTACACAGATTTCAATAATTAACATTTCATGAAATCAATAAATGTATATTTTGATATTTCAATGCTGCACTCATTCAGGATTGAGGATCCAAAAGAAATCATTCTTACTCAACAGGAAGAATGATTTAGTAAATTAGTCAAAATTTGACCTGAATAAAAGTTTAGTATCACTGACCAGAAGAACAAAATTTTAATAATTTATTACCAATTTAAAGTAACAATGCAAGTAATCTAGAATTTTTTCAACATATTTTAAGATAATTTAATCAAAACCTTACTGTCCAAGTAAAGCATATTGTCTTTTCTTTGCCTTTATGAAATGAGTTCTCTACTTTCTTCAAAAAATGGAAGAAGAAAAATGATAAAGTTCTGTTCTGCTTACAATTACTTTATTATTATTATTATCATTTTTCCTCCAAATTTATCAAACAACTGATTATTCACTCTGTAAAATTCCAAATATTTCAATAAAAGATGATAAGTAATAGAATAAATGAAGATATAACAAACTTAAAACTACCAAACTAACCAAAAATAAAATAATTTCATAGGTTCTCACAGTCACATCAGCGAGAAAGACACTTATAAGTTACACATCTCATGGAATCTCTACCAAACCATACATGTGGTTTCTTCAAGAAATGAACTACAAAACAAATGATAAAAGCTAATTTAGAAAGAACAGGAGACTGAAACAAAAAGGGGAGGAGGAGTTACAGGAACTTATACTAATTAAAAAATATATAAGGAAAAGAAGAAAGAAAAAATTACACTAAGCTAATGACTAGAGATTCAATAGCTATATATGTTTAATGAAACTTCTTGAAAGTAGCAGCAGCAGCAAACCTCTACAGACAGTTTGTCTGTGCAAAAGAAGGAAAGTCCAAGAGAAAACTGTCAACGTTGGGACTCTTAACTCCTACTATATCACCCTGGTGTGCTATGGCACATAAACTCTCAGTTTAATAGGTAGAGTTGGTCATGTACATGTTGCACTTCTCTGGTGCAGGCCGGAAAGCTATTCTACATACCTGCAACATAAATGGAAAACTCTCCCAAATATTCATTCAAAAAAAGTCAAACCATAATACACTCGTCAGCAAGACTATTTATTCTGTAACATACAGAATTGTGGCACAAGGCCGGGGTAAAGAGGGGGGGGGCTGGATTTCATTAACTATCCTAGTCAGTCAGATTTGCAACCCATTCATTCATTACAATTTGCTCCTTCATCAAAATACTGCATATTCACAGGGGGACCTACAAAACACCTTATGAGATAGTGGTCAGAAAGAATTGCTGTTTGTGTAGCAAATTTTGATCCCAAGTTCACTATACTTATTTTACAACAAAATTATATTCTTTAAGTTTAATGCTAGAAACAGGACATTTTCATTTTTTTTCTTCAAGTAATGCTAATTGCAACTAAATATCCACAGTAATTAGAAAAAATTTGAAACAATTTCAAAGGATTTTTTTTTTTTTTTTGCTTATTTAAAAGAATATTTCTCTAGAAGTTATAGTAAAAGCTTCTCCGAGATAACTGGTTAGATTACAACATTATCAAGGAATAAATTTATAAATGAAGCCATCCTATTTTGTCAAGATAGTTTAGTAAATGCATAAACAAGTTCCAATGAGTACTAAGGACCATAACGAAAATATTACAAATTGGAGGAAGAACAGTAGCAAAGCAAAATTTGAGTAGTTATCAAAATGAAAATAAATTGCATATATAAAAAGAAAACATTTAAAACAATGATTTTGTCTTTTACTAGTTTCAGAAAAAAAATAAAAAACACTTGCAAAAAATTAAAATAAGAAAAAAAAAAAAACAATCATAATGAAAGCACAAACAAAAGAATCTCAATCAACAAACATGCTGGGAGAATAAAAGAGTGCAAAGCATTTTGGGAAAGTAAAAACTATTTATTCTTGAGCAAAAAGAAAAAAAAAATTCATTTTCTTTTAACTGAACTATAGTGACTCTTGAATCACTCTTTGTGAAGAAAAAGATTAAATAATTGCTGATCAGCATCTGACACATGTTACAGAGGATATATGGACATTTCAAATGGCCCAGAAATTAACAAACCTAAACTGGTTTGATAAGAAATCTAACAAGATATTGTGAGTTGAGGGGAGTGGGAGAGGGTAAAAAAAAAATAAAAAAGATTTTCTCCTTTCATTTTATTTAATCTTTTGTGAAGATGGGGGTGGGGGGATGAATTTTCCTGAGAGGAAATAGAAGTTCTCAAGTTAATGCATATACATTGTTTCTCATCTGAAGATGTTGCCCTGGATCTCTTTCCCAATGTCAGAAGATGAAGTGGGAGGAGGAGGAGGGGGGAAGTAGAGAGGAGGGGGGGGTATGTATTTGATGAAAGTGATGGGTGGATGTGAGCATGCTACATTTGAAGAGATCGATTGAAAATTTTCCCAATTGGGTGGGGTAAGAATGTTGATGTCGGAGTTGTAGTCTGATGATATAGCTGGAATGAGAAGAAAAAATTTATAGTTTTATAAATATCAACCCAAACAGTGGGAGGGAGAGATAGGAAAAGAAAAAAAAAAGGCAGAACAGAAGAAAAACAAGGAACAACAAGCAATAAATAAATAAAAATAAAAACTGGCTACAACAATAAATGTGATGGAAGGAAGTGGGAGAATATATAAAAAAAAAAAAAAAAAAAGGTTTGAATAATGTGCAAAAAGGAAATAAAAACAAATGAGATGCAAAATGAAACTAGAAAAATAAAGTCTCTACAAATATTGGACTAATTGTTAGCAAATACCTTCAGGCCTTGTTTTACAAACTTGCAACTTTTCTACTTCAAAATAGTAAAAGTCATTTAAAATTTTATAAATACTAGCATATAGTGGACAAACTTAAGGATTGTTTATAGCACTGTTCTTGATAGACACTGAAAAGTTATTAAAAGTTACCAAAAACACTATGATTTTATTTTTTTTTTTTTTAAATGGTTATTTATTTTATTTAATAGTGAAGAAAAAATGCATTACATATTCTAAAGAAAAAAAAAACTTAGATTTTCTATAGTATATACATTTAAGATTACTTCATTTTGCTTGAAGAAATTTTCAGCTTCAAACTACAAAATTTAAATGTCTAAATCATGAAAGATTTTATGTTTCTTGCGTGATTTCCATCAGTAGCTCCACAAATGACTTTCACATTCTTGTAGTCATTAACTGTTGGTTATTAAAAATTCTTCTATGAAGTGTGGGGGTGAGGATAAAATATACCCACTAAGAACATGACTGAAATGAACACTAAGTATTTGTTTTTGTTTCAAGAGATTATGAAATATTACGATCTAAATAAGAAAATACATTGAATGTGGAAAGCAAAATCAAGAGTACTAGTAGTCACTGGGGCACTGGAATCTATCAAGAATGAATTTAATCATTTTGATCAAACTAAGAAGAGGATTTATACCTTTACCAAGGGTATTATCACATAAGTGAATGTAATAGAGTTTGAATTCCATCTAAATCAGTTACATTCACTTACATGCTAATAATCTTGGGAAAGGTATGAATCCTCATCTTCTCTCCCCAGCTATGGGGAAATAGCAGGACAGACCAGGTTCTATAGCCTTGGATGGCAACTGGTCTAACATAGAAAGAAATGGCAACCTAGTGTGGGACTAAATCTGCCTGGTCAGTCATGTATCACGCATGGCAATTAAAAGAAAAAGGTAAAGCACAAACATTAGAAAATTACCAAAGGTTTTGTGCAATTAACATAAAAAGTAAAAGAAATTCTTTGCATCATGTAACACATGACATTCTTGCAGATATTCGGTGACTTTGTAAAAAGCAAGAAAATAAATATCTGCAAGATAATTAAATACTTGCAAGTAAAGGGAAATAATAAGATTTAAATGCAACCAATTGTGGTATACTAACAAAACATTTATCTAACCCTCAGATTTTAAAGGAGGAGGCAATCTTCTTTAAAATCAACTCTTACTTGTTTATAGAAAATTTTCCATGGTGAAAGACATTAAAAAAAAAAAAAAAAAAAAAGGCCTTACATTTACTGTATAGTTTATTAGTTAATACACAGCATGTTGCTACTGTACTGCTCACCATTCACTAACACATCAAATGAAAATGGGACTGTATATTTATTTTGTTTTAAATAAAATCACCAGAAATTCCGAATAGGTACCTAAGATCCATCAAAAGGTAAAGATTGAATTATTATGACAGTTTTAGCCGACCACCCACATGTCTATTTGCAAAAATTGAAAATGTGAATTATAATGCATGTGTAATAACATAACTCATTTTTTGATTTGCTTATTTCAACATAGAATATAACAAATATTTAAAGTTTACAAAGAGTCTTTTTCAACAAAAGAAAACTGTTCCTTAATGACATCCTTACTTCAAAGAGAAATAGTAATTGAAACCAATCTAACCCAATTTATTATCCATAGTGAAGATTGATCTTTAAGACATAGCAAGAAAAATGTTAAACAAATAAGTTAACAGCTTTTGTACCAATAAATTGTAAAAAGATAACAATTAGAAGTATGTTAAAGCAATTTAATAAGTAATTTGCAGAACAAATTTGGATAAGTTATTTTATTTCCTGCAAATTAATAGCAATTAAGTGATTTTCACATATTTTTAATGAGTCCTGATAAAAATAAAATATATAAAAGAATTCAAATAAGGCATTTGTGCATTTCTTTAAAACCTTTATCTCTTTCTCTAAACTTCTTTCTCTACTCTTCTCTCAATTGAGAAGGTAACCCTAACCCTCAAATAAAAAAGAAAAAAGAAAAGACTGGACCCAGCAAAAACACACCAGAAGTTTACTGAGCCTTTCTTCTCTTCTCTTTTTCTTCCCTTCTATCTCTCTCCCTTTTTGCTTTTCTCTCTCCTTTTTCAGTTCTCTCCTTTACAAATAAAAAGATGAAGAAGAAGAAGAAAACATTGAACCCACCCATAAACAACGGAAGTTTGTAGGGGCAGAGCCTACTTATGCGTGACTGAAAAATACCAAAAATCAGGGAGGCTCCACACATAACTTTTGTTATAAAAACCAAAATGAAAAAGAAAGGAATGCTGGAAAATAAAATAACTTGGCCAATCAAAAAAAAAAAAATTAACATAAAGAGGTTTTTTGATATTAGCCAAAACCAATGTTTGCACAAAAACCTCAAGCCCAGTGAAAACGAGATAAACCTGACAGATCTGGGCTAGTAGCAGAACGGACAGCAGGAGAGGGACAGAACAAAAGAATGCAGCCATGCATGATGTATGAAGAAGCAGTTAAGAGGTCATCTGCTAATGACATTTCCATCCTGTTCACATCCCCCAACAATAAAAAAAAAAAAAAAAAAACAACAGTGGTCATGTACTGGAAGACCTAATTAGATCTATTTTCATAGCACTGCCTAAGAAGCCAAGTGTAAATGAATGCAAACTCCAGCAGACAATCAGCTTAATGAGCCATGTAATGATCATCTGAATGTTGATGAATACAGCAGAATCAGACCAGAAATAGGACAAGAACAGTGTTCATCAAAGACACTGAAACAAGGAATGCAATATTTATACTCGGAATGTTATCAGAAAGAGCAATACAAATACAGAAGGATGTGCACCTGTGTTTTATGGATTATGCAAAAAGCATTCGATAAAGTATGCCACATGGATCCGTTGGAATTGCTCACCAACTTTAATATGTTTGAGAAGGATATTTAAATTATCAAGGAACCTATACTGGCAGCAAACTTCCTGCATATGGATAGAAAATGAGTTCTGCAGATATTCAAAAATAGAACACTTTTCACATTGTCCGTATATTTTCTCTTTAGATTCATCTCGTTCAAGAGGCTGTCATAATGCAATCTGGGTGCTGCATTAGTGCTTTCCAATTTCTGTAGTTTCACTCTAAGCTTACATATCACTGGGAGATGATCACTTCCACAGTTTTGAAAACTGCATTCCTGAATCTCTTGTTGATAGTTATATAGACAATCTGTTTTTTTTTTTTTTTGTTTCTCCTCCTGGGTTTATCCATGTGCATATACATTTTGGACATTCTTGAAACCAGGTGTTGACTATTACCTGGTCATTCACCATTGGACCCATTTTCCTCCATGTTCATTACAAGTTCCTAGTCCAAATTTGCCAACTATTTCACCATCCTTCTTTTTGCCTTCTTTGATATTCAGGTCACCCATGACAATTATAATTTCTTGTGATTTGCAAAGGGTACCCTTACATAACTATATCAGCTAATGAAGGTTGTTGGTTTTTACATAATGTTTATAGCTATGTGAAAGCATTTTGAACTTGGAAGAGGCTGAAAAGACGTGTCAAGTATGAAAATATATCTCACTTCTATCAACTTTAAGTCTATCTGTGCTTCAAGTTGAAAGAGAAGAAAATAGATAAGGATTTATGACTTAAGAGATTCAAATAGAAAGGGCACAAAGAGAACACTACTCACTTCCATCAAAATGGAAAGCTTTAAAAAGAAAGTAACAAAATAAAATATGCTTAAAACATACACTTTAAATAAAGTTTACAAAAGTTAAGGTTTCTTTAAGCTCCCAAATTTTAAAAAGGTAAATACAAGAATTGTTATAAAAATACAAACATACTTTGTAAATAGGAGCAATGATGATTCTCTGAAAGTCAATACTATCCTAACAAAAAATAAATTTCACAATAAACATCTCACTATCACTTGTAAGAAATTGTGAGCCTTTGTTTTTCTAGACTGTATTAAAACATGAAAATTTTAAATTAACTTTTAGCTAATGAACATAACTATTCAGTAGTTAATTATTACTCTTAGTATAATAATAATAATAATAATAATAATAATAATAATAGTAGTAGATTTGTAATATTTTTTCCCTTAAATTTTATTTATCAATAATCAGGATTTAAAATGAATGAAACCAAATTCAAAAGAGTAAATAATAGGAAAAAGCAGAGACAATAAAACAATTCACATAAAAAAGAAAAGTGACAAAAGCAAAAATTAGAAAGAATAGAATATATATTCCAAATATTCAAAAGTTAAAAACATTAAATTCCAAAAAAGTGGAGAGGGAGGGACTTTTAAAAAGTGAAATACATATAAAAGTTTCCATAAAAATCTTTCTAAAGACCATACAATATCATTAAATATAAATAGATGAAATAATTTTCTTAAATACTTAATATTAAAAGGCTACACAAGTTTACACTTACATTTTTGAAAAATATTTTGCATTAAGAAAATTGAAATACTAACAGGAAGAAAGAGAGAAAAAACATTAAGATATAGCTGAGCAAATGATTAAAAAAGGAAAAAATATATGTATAAATGAAAAATCCATCTGATAAGGTTAAATAACTAAATTGATTTATATAGAAAAAGTAGATTTTAATATGTGTAGATAAAATGATTAAATGAATAATTGTTTTCAAATAGTCCAACTTCATACTTTTCTGA